GGCTGTGAAAGAGAAGAGCTGGGGACCAAGGTCAGAGCCTCTGGACAGGGCCGGCTCTGGCTTTTTTGCTGCCCCAGGCAAAAAAGCCTCCAGCTGCGACCCCCCCCCCAACCCCCAAGCGCGGCAAGGGGAGGGCGCGGGGGGGGGCGGCGAGCCCTGGCCAGGGCTCCGCTCTCCCCAGCGGCCGGGGGGAGGGCGCCGGGGGGGAGGGCAGCCACAGCCCTGGGAGGAGGGCGGAGTGCCCAGCCGGGGCTCCGCTCTCCCCGGCGGCGAGCCCCAGCCAGGGCTCCGCTCTCCCCGGTGGCCAGAGCGCCGGGGGGAGGGCGGCGAGCCCGGCCGTGGCCCAGCTCTCCCCGGCGGCCGGAGCCGGAGCACCACACCGCCCCCGTCCAGGTGCCGCCCCAAGCACAAGCTTGGTGGGCTGGTGCCTGGAGCCGGCCCTGCCTCTGGAAGCCACCACAGAAAGCTGGAGGGGGGGGGACTTAGATTCCAAGGCCACAAGGGACCATTGTGATCATCTAGTCCAGGGGTCGGCAACCTTTCAAAGTGGTGTGCCGAGTCTTCATTTATTCACTCTAATTTAAGGTTTCGCGTGCCAGTCATACATTGTAACGTTTTTAGCAGGTCTCTTTCTATAAGTCTATAATATATAACTGAACTATTGTTGTATGTAAAGTAAACAAGGTTTTTAAAATGTTTAAGAAGCTTCATTTAAAATTAAATTGAAATGCAGAGCCCCCCGGACCGGTGGCCAGGACCCGGGCCGTGTGAGTGCCACTGAAAATCCGCTTGCGTGCCGCCTTCGGCACACGTGCCATAGGTTGCCTACCCCTGATCTAGTCTGACCTTCTGTATAACACAGGCTATAGAACTTCCCCCAAAGTAATTCCTAGAACAGATCTTTTAGAAAAACATCCAATTTTGATTTAAAATGTGCAAATAACAGAGAATCCTTCATAAATTGTACCAATGGTTAATTAGTTAAAATGTATGCCTTCTTTCCAGTTTAATTGGTCTAGCTTCAATATCCAGCTACTGGATCATGTTATACCTTTCTCCGCTAGACTGAAGAGCACACTTTTAAATATTTGTTCACCATGTTGATACCTATAGACTGTATTCAAGTCACCCCAAAACCTTCTCTTTGTTAATCTAAATAGATTGAGCTCCTTGGGTCTGTCACTATAAGGCAAGTTTTCTCATCCTTTAATCATTCTTGTGGCTCTTCTCTGATTATTCTGCAAATTTTCAACATCCTGCTTGAATTGTGGGCACCAGAACTGGGCACAGTATTCCAGAAGCTGTCATACCAGTGTCATATACAACGGTAAAATAACCTCTCTGCTCATACTGGAGTACTGTTTATGCATCCCAGGATCACATTAACTCCTTTGGCCATAACGTTTCATTGGGATCTCATGTTCAGCTGATTATCATGACCTTTCATGAGGAGGATCCTCTGAAGGAGCGATTAGAGAGGTAGGAGGAGAGCCAGGAGAGGACAGAGTTTTGGAAACCACAGAAGGACATGATTTCAAGACGTGGTTGGTTACTGGTGTTGAAAGGGTTGACAAGTCAAGGAGAATGTGGATGGAGTACTGGTTCTGAGCTTTGCATAGGAAGAGGTCATTAGGGACTTTGACAAGAGCAGTTTCAGTGGAGGGTGAGGGGCGGAAACCTGATTGGAGAGTGTCTAGGATGGAATTGGAGGAATGGAATTCCAGACCATGGTTTTAGACGGCGCAATCAATGAGCTTCGAGATGAAATGGGATGGTAGTTAGTGAGGCAGATGGGGTCAAGGGTGGGATTTTTAGATGGCAGAGACTAGAGCATGCTCATATTGTGAGGGGAAGAGAGCCAAAGGAGAATGAGGTTAAGGAGAAGAGTAGTGGAGAGAATGCGATTGGGTGCAAGGGAGATCAGGAGATGGGGTGGGGGTCACTTGGACAAGGAGAGGGAATAGAGAAGGAGAGCAGATGAGAAACTTCTGCATCTGTGACAG